GGAGACTCTGCTGTGGTCCTGCAGTGCTGTCGGTGAGAGCTGTGTCTCTCCTCCACAGAGCTGCGTCTCTGTGTCTTCATAGTTCCTTTGTAAACTTCTGCTTTACTATAACACTTTAGTTCCTTTTAATTTGTTTACATTAAGGATTTAGCTTTGCAATGTTCCAACTGAACAGGAAAAAATCCTAAACCTTAGGAAATATTCCACAGAAGTGGAAGTGTGTCCTTGAGAATGGGAGCAAAGGCCTGTAGGCTCCACAGCCTGGCTGTGTCGCTCGGCTCTTCTGTTTGCTTGAAAGCTGGTTGTCTGTCAAAGGTCTGGAGGAGCACGGCCTGAAGGCGCCCAGCGTCTTCCTCATCTCCGGCCACGACCTGGGGAAGTACGACTTCCCACTGCTGGAGGAGACCCTGGAGCAGGAGCTGCCCAAGCACAAGAGACACGTGCTGCTGCTCGCCCTGCCCAACGTCACCCTGGAGATCAACCAGCGCAAGCGCAAAGCCCTGCAGGCCGGCATCTGGAAGCTGGCCACGCTGTCCTGCGTCGTGGCCACCGTGCCCATCCCCGGCCTGTCGGTGGTGGTGGACGTCGCCATCCTGGTGTGCGAGATCCAGCGGTACTACGAGACCTTCGGGCTGGACGAGCAGTCCCTGAGCAGCCTGGCCGAGAGGGTGGGCAAGCCGGTGGAGGAGCTGAAGGCTGTGGTCAAGTCCCCGCTGAACAAGGAGATATCCGCCGACGTGGTCATTAAGATGCTGACCAAGGCCGCCGGCGGAGGGCTGATGCTGGTGGAGTACTGGGTCAGCACCATCCCCGTCTTCGGGTCCATGACGGCCGGCGGGATCTCGTTCGCCACCACCTACCACATGCTGAAGAGCTGCCTGACCGAGCTGGCGGACGACGCCCAAAACGTGCTGATGACGGCCCTGGAGTCGGAGGTGTGAAACGCAGCAGGAGTGACATCACGGCTCCTCTTGATCCAGGGGGGCTGAGCTGCTGTAGCTATTGGCTGGGGGTCTGAAGGGGGTGTGGCAGCGTTACTCTGCAGACTGGCCGTGGTGTGATGAGATTGTTATTCACCAGCTGAAAACGAACAGCAGTGAGTTTTCCAAAGTGCTCTTAAAATATTGCCTCATGCGATGGTGTTCCAGGCCTTGTGATGTCACAGCGGGTCAGAGGAACCTCTGATGTCATAGGGGTGTGCCATGACATCATAGCTTCTCTCATTGGATCCTACATCAAATTACATAGATGAAATGAAAAAAAACAGAAATGAAATGACTAAATGACGTTTATAATTCTCCTGTGATAATATTCTCTCCTAGTCGTCGTTCTCTCCTCGCCTACTCGGGCTCTAGTTTTTTGGGGCATAAGGGCCGATGTATTAATGCATGATGTCATGATGTTTTTTTAAGCAAATTATATTCCAAATAATATTGTTGGATAAAATGAAAGCAGTGACTTCTGTTTTGATCTTTGCTCTTAAAAGTCTTTAGAATAGAGCTGTTGGTGTGTGATCTTTGTGTACTTTGTGTTACTTGTGAGTAATAGGAAAACTCATGCATCTCTACTTTAATATCCTTAAACAAAACAAATAAAAGTAAATATCTGCAAAGGAATATGAGGAAAGTAGAAATAACTTACAGCATTTAATGTCTTTTTAGATTAATAATACTCATGGAAGTGCTTGTCTGTTGCATTATTTGGAAAAGTGTTACGAGTTCTGTTTAAAAGACATACATTATGAGAGGAATACGGTGAATTTTAAAGATGCAATTGATTTTTAAAAGTTTTGTACTTAAAGATTAAAGCATGTAGACTTTAAGTGGAATATTATTTGTTCCTGTTGCTAATTTTAAAGTGCATAGTTATAATTATGTGCATTTGCAGGGATGTTGGGAAGATCAATATGTGTTGTATTCAAGCTCTTTGAAATAAAAGTTTAAATAAATGGGCACCTGTCTGTATTCTGCTTGCAGTGCTGTAGCTTATCTGCTGGAAAGCTGGGATGTTTCTGTTGAGGACCTTGAATACTTGTATACTCGTATCAGTTCCCCTTGTCAGAAGCCTGTCAGTGTGAGACACTCCCTTCAGACTGAAGAGACTCAGTTACCCCAACCAGTCAGTGCGGGACACTTCAGCCCATCAGTGTCGGATACTCTCTTCAGCCCTGAAATGTTATCAGTCGTTCTGTAAAATGGTGACCACAGTTTTATTTACACAAGAATACTTACAAGAGAGAGGCCATTCAGCCCAGCCAGCCTGCTGGTTTTCTGCAAGATAATGGATCCCAGGATCTCATCCTGCTGTTTCTTCAAATACGTTAAGGTCCCGGGTTCAATCTGGCTGGATGACGTGTTCTTCACTCCCATGTACCCTTTGTGTAAAGCCAGCCAGGCTTTCGGTTTCAACAGCATTGGTGGGCAGCTTGTTCCACCCTCCCACCCCCCTTACTGTAAAGAAGTGGCTCCTGTTCTTGGTTTTAAATGCACTTCCCTGTCGATTCTACTTGTGTGCTCTGCTGGGTGTTTCACTGTTCATTCTGAAGAAACCAGCTAGTTTGATTTCGTCAGTGCCCTTGAGAATGTTGACCTATATCTCTTAGAATTATACACGACTGGGTTAAACACTCAGTGTCCTTTGGTCTAGACTGAACAGGTTTAGCTCCTTTAACTCGTACGTATACAATACCAGGAATTATTCTTGTCCCTCTTCTCTGAATTCTAAGGCTGCAAAATCATTTTGCGGTGTGTTGACCAAAACTGCCTACAGCAGCCTAGAACAAGTCTTCCTTATGTGTTGGAGATCTTGAGCATAAGCTTCCCTGGACATAAAATCCACACCATTTTCCATCAGCCCAAGAGCTCACCTTGTTTTATTTCATCTCCACATTGTTGTTCACCTCAGAGAAGCAGAAACTCAGAAATCATATTAAAAACAAATGTAATCAAGGGCTGTATGAATCATAGGTACACAAATGAGTATGACATGGTCCTCTGCACCCTGACTCTGTGCTCGTGTGCGAGTCTCAGGACAGTGGTGTGCCAGAAGAGGGACAGTTCACTATAACAATCACACAATCACGGAGGCATGTTTCATACTGTTATTCCACAGATACTGAACTCCACTTGAAATGCGAATGCAGTTGGCTTTACTGCACTCAATGGGTGGTATTTATATTATTCACAT